CTGCGCTTTGCCTGCACTCAAAGTCCGCATTAGAAAAGTCCCCAACACAACCGGTTTGCTTTTCTTGAGCCAGAAACAAGGAGAGAAGAGACCAAAGAAATGGAGAAAAAAGAAAACAAGGAAAGGCAGAAGAGATTGCTTACCATAACAGTGTATGAGACGAGCAGGATCTCCAAGCTCTTGAGGTAGCAAATGAAGGCAGAACGACTTTACTGTAAAAAAGAACACAAGAGTCAGCTAAGCTATCACCTGAGAGAGATAAACAAGCCAACCTTGTGACAAGTAGATATAAAACTACAGGAACGGCCGTAAAGCCTCGTTGGAGAGCAGCAAAATTGAGAAGCGATGGTGCTAAGTGACCACGATTCCCACGAGCCCCTGCGAGCTCGGGAGCTCGTTTATGATCACATAGCTCGTAAAAACCAGAAGAACTGGAGTGAAAGCTAGATAAGGAACAGTGACCGAGAGAGGAGAGCACGCTGGTACATGGACCCCACCAGAGCCTTGATCGCCGCGGTGACGAGCCAGCCGCGTCAAAGAGAAGAGATCGAAGCCGCCGGAGAGGAGGAGTGCGTCCAGGAGAGCCACCAGAGCTACAAGCTTGCGGTCCGAGAAGCACTGGGACGCCTGCTGGCATCGATGCAGCTGTGGCCGATCGCGGCGTATGCGAATCCTGCCCAGATCATTTCTCTGCTCTTTTCCGGAGCGAGCGATCAATCAATCGATCCATCACTAGGCATTATTGGCAAGGGCGTCACTCCTATGTAATGAATAAGGTTTAAATTACTTGTATTACTTTTTTTTCCAAGTGAGCTCTTCATTGATTGTCCATTTTTGTTGATCGATCAACATACACCTCGAAAACCAGTGTGATTTGTGATGAATATGATCTTGCACACTTCATCCCTCTAAACAAGCATTACTTACTCTCTTGATGCTGCAAATTCTTCCTTAATTTCCCACTCTAATTCCTTTGCAAAATTATTTTCTTCATTTAGTGCTAAAATAGGAGATTCTTCCTCCATTTGCTGCTCCAACTCCATGGCAAAAGTGTTTTGCTCTTTGCCCAAATCAGATTGAGCACCCTGGCCCTGTAAGTTGCTGAACTCCCCCTTAAACTCCTCAAGACCCAATAGTAAATCTCCATCAACTTTGAAATCCTTGAGAAAGTTCATCACCTCGTCCTCCATAGAAGGACCCTAGCCATTTTACACCACAATTTCTCAACCTCCTGGAAGATCTCCCTGTTTTGCATGTATCCTTTGAAGTCACAGGCGTTGACTGGCAATGACTAATCCTCATGCTCATTGACCACAAGTTGACTAAAACATTGACCTGTGATAAAGAAATCCCGTGTGTTTGGTGATGGCCTTGCCATTCTCCTCAAAGATCCATGACTTGTTGGCCACGCCCTGCATGAGGATGCACAGTAGTGACTCCCACTGGTTGTGGCCGATGGAATCGCTGGCGAAGACGACATCTCACAAGGAAGACACTGCCCCTTGATGTCTCCTTCTTGGGTCTCTTTCTTGGACGTCGTTTCGGTCGTGTTGTTCCACTTGGGGTGAAGTGCTATTTGCACACTGTGCACTTGTAGCGCGCCTGGATCAGCATGTGGTTGTCAAAATAGTCAAACTTGGTGAGTGCCTAGGCCATGAGCTCCCCCATGCTCCCAAACGTAACAAAAGCCTGTTGTGATGCCTATAAATCAAAGACTGGGTAGTCTTTGAGATAGTGGATGTCCTTGACCACTCATTTCTCTCATCTCTCTGAAAATTAATCTAGGTATGCAGTTACGGGCGATGAAAATATACTTTACACACAAATATTCTAACACAAACATACTATGAATATCAAATATTCTAAAATGAATATACTATGAATAGAATCTGAACCTGCAAAGCAGCAAAGGCAGGCTAGTTGTGGCGAAATTCAGCTGGGCAAAAGAGGTGGATTCTTGAGAGATGAGGAGAGGTGAAGCTTTCAGTGACTGGTACTTTTTTCTTGTGAGCGGCTTAAACTATGGTTTATTCAAACCTTTATGGAGGTTAATATTTTAGAAACTTTTTCAGATGTAAAAGTCATGGAGTAAAAGTCATGGAGTAAAAGTCATGGAGTGCATTTTTATTTTCTACCTTATACATTATGGTATGCTTTACTAGAACGATGTTTTTTCTTTTTTATCTTTAGGAGCTGAAAAACTATATTCTAGCAAGGTGATGGTGGCAAACATTCTAATTCCCTCTCAGGAGAATTCCCAAAAGAGGGAAAATCCTGCATTTCTGGGATGAACAAGCTGACAGCTAGAAGCTCTTCGTCCTTGCAAAACTCCACACAAAACTGACTAAAAAACCTCTGCACCATGGCTCGAAAGACGGGGCAATTGAGCAGCATATAGTAGCCCAGAAATTCCTCCAAGTTCACCAAATCATCAAAGCTGTCCCCTACAACCATCTCCACCACTTCGTCCCACCTTCATAGCGTCACTGCGCTGGGCGCCAGGATGCGGTGACAAAATCTTCTTGCCTTTGCCATGCCCAAGGTCCTCCATGAACGAGAAGTTGCTGGACGAAGCCTGAGAGTCCTCTAAGTTGCGGTGGACGACTTCCTGGCGACCTAAAGCTTCCGTCCAGCTATCACTGGTCTTGAGTTTGCTGCACCAAACGACCATAAACTGCTGAGCTTTTGCTTCTGCTGCTGCCTGTATGACAAGCTCACTGTCCAACTGATCCTGTGCTTGTTGCTGCTGTTGCTGCTCCTCTTCACCATCACCCCACGAGTTGACGACCTTCTACCGTCCGCTTCATGAGATTCCTGCAAACGCTCCGGAACTTAATGCACCAAGGAAAAGAACAACCCGTAGCGTCCCATGGGCAACCGTCATTTCATGAACCATCCTCCTCTGCTACTGACCAAGATGTTGATTCTTTCAGGAGAAACGTTTAAGTAGGTGGCCTGGCACCTCTGACTTCCCCCACTCCATTTTCTAGCTCACATCGTCGCACGAAAGAGGCCTATATGATCAGCTTTGTGCCGTCCACGCACATTGATCCGATGACGGCCCTGCGCATGGAAACAAGTCAGTGCTGTTGCCTTTTATAATAGAACACTCACCTGACGTTCAAACAAATGCTTCCAATTGTCAACATCTGACACGGTAAAAGAAACATAGGAAGAAAAAAAAACAGTGAAACTTATGGGTAGTCAAGCTGCTGCAGCTTTGAGCGACGCCAAAGCGCTCGCTTCGTGCTGCATCTTGAGCGCATTCACAAAAATTTCCAGACCAATCCCCTCCATAATTTGCTCAATCGAGTGTTGCGTCACTCCCACTCGATGATCAGTTACCCGGTCTTGAGGAAAGTTACACGTTCTTATGCGCTCCAATCTGTCACTTGAGCCGATCTGGAGTGACAATTTATAAAAGTAGAAAAAATAACGTTCTGCGACAACATTACCTGATCTTGTTGTAATTCAGACCGACTTGCCGCTGTTCGGGACCGCTCAAGCTCGTACAGCCTAGCATATAAAATATTCAAAGCTTTTGCTTTGTTCTATAGAATCTCAGCTCAGTTGTAGCAAAGCACGCGCGCTGAAGGGCCTTCCTTGTGTTGAGAGCGTTCGTCTTGGATTGCGACCACAATACCTGTTGGAACGTGAGTGACTCGGACTGCACTGCAGGTAGTATTTACATGGCTCCACCAGCTCGGTATGTGTCTATCTTTATCTCGTCATTACGGATATCGACATCAACCTGTCAGCATAGTCAAACTTTAGTAACAGAAAAACGAGAAACAATAACATGTATCAATGGTCTATGCAAGTGCCAAGGTTTAGTAAACCTGGAGTGAACCTCATTCGCTTCAGGAAGAATAGCGACTGACGCAGTATTTGTGTGTATACGTCCACGCTGCACACGGATGCATGAAAAAAATGAAATCACCGTAATTACTTTTGTACCTGGACGCGATGAACGCCACTGTCAAACTTAACAGCTCCATAAACACCATCTCCAGATATTGCAGCACTAGCCTCCTATAAACACGTTACCTGGTAACCTCGGGTGTTGGTGGTGGTAATGCTGAGAACTTCAAACCTCCATGAGTTGTTTGCGCGTATTTCTCATACCTGAGAGCATTCATAGAAATCCAATAAGCAATCGACATGAACCAGTAAGACGTGCCTACTTTTTGAAGAGATCAGACGCAAAAATTGACGCTTCGTCACCTCCAGCTCCTAAAAAAAGATAAAACATATCAATTATGGGTTGCACTTGCCTGTTCTGACTTCGAGAATACAACCTCTGCTATCAGCTTCATCTTTAGGAATACGCTCCAGGAGAACTTCGTCCTGAGCATCTCTCACTTCTCTGGTGGCCGTTTGAAGTTCTCCAGAGGCCAGCCTACGCATTTCTTCGTCTTCAACGGACTCTTTCACCAATTCTTTCAAGCCAATTACTTCCTGCATTCAACCAAAGAGTCTCTTTCTCCCAAAATTTAGTCGTCAAACCTTTTCTTTGGCTTTCAGCGCCTTGAACATATCCACGGAGTAATCCAGCTTGCAAAGGTCCTTGTTCATCTTGATGAGCTCGTCTGACGCAATCCCAGTCTGAAATCATTCACGATCACCTTTTCAAGGACGAAAACCGAATCTACACTTTACCTCTAGAAGCGCTTTGGAAAGACAGGCATGGCGGTCTTCAATAGAGATCACACTCTTCTCCAAAATTCGCAAAATATCGTCGGGAATGGGCGCATGCTTGTCTGGAGGTAGAAAATCCATGTCTCCAGCTCAATCCACTTACATTTCGCAAGAACATACCCATGAGCGTGGAAGCTTTTGTTGAAGACGGTATTCATGTCCTAGAGCTTTTGTTGTGCTTCTATACTTAACTAGCTTGGTTTTTTTGGGAAAGAGGTTTCCGGTTCGAGTCCTGAACTCGCAAAATGCCCACCTATAATATACAGCCCCCACTGTTGAGTTTTAGGGTTCTTCGCGCAAGGGTTTTTGCGCAAAGGCGGAGCGCTTGATCGAAGGCGGCGAGCACCGCAGGTGCGTTTGCGCCACGCAATCGCGAGATTTGAGCTCCGCCAGGATGTATGGAGGTGATGAGGAGGATTACATGGATGAGGAGGAGGAAATCACACAGGAGGATGCCTGGGCCGTCATTAGTGCCTACTTCGAGGAGAAGGGGCTAGTGCGCCAGCAGCTCGACTCGTTCGACGAGTTCATCCAGAACACGATGCAGGAAATCGTGGATGAGTCGTCGGAGATCGAAATTAAGCCCGAGTCGCAGCACAACCCTGGCCGGAATAACGAATATTCCGGAGAGGTATGATGCTTGCACAAACCATCAGCCAAGGAAAATAAAACTTACTGCGATGTCTGTTTTCAGACCACTTTCAAGATCAAGTTTGGACAGATTTATCTGAGCAAGCCTATGATGACCGAGTCTGATGGAGAAACCGCAACTTTGTTCCCAAAAGCTGCCCGGCTCAGGAATCTAACGTACTCGGCTCCTTTGTACGCCGATATCATCAAGTATGTCACTCGAAAAGGAGAGGACGGCGAAGAAGACACCGAGCAGGAAGAGCTGCCGAAAGTCTTCATTGGAAAGGTTTGGCATTCTCATGCTTTTTTCACTCGGCTCTAAAGCAGAGCAATGCAGGTTCCTATCATGCTTAGATCGAGCTACTGTACATTGTATCAGAACTCTGATAAAGACCTTACTGAGCTTGGCGAGTGTCCATACGATCAAGGAGGCTACTTTATCATTAACGGGAGTGAGAAGGTCCTCATTGCACAAGAAAAGATGAGTACCAATCACGTCTACGTGTTCAAAAAGAGGCAGCCAAACAAATATGCTTACGTTGCTGAGGTTCGTTCTATGGCGGAGTCCCAGAACAGACCCGCGAGCAGTATGTTCGTCCGAATGCTGTCACGAGCCGGAGCCAAAGCGGTAATAATGCAAATCGGGTATTTTCTGATCTAACATCCTTACAGGGGTCTTCTGGCCAATATATTCGAGCAACACTGCCTTATATCAAACAAGAAATCCCAATCATAGTGGTTTTTCGAGCACTTGGATTCGTGGCTGATAAAGACATCCTTGAGCATATCTGTTATGACTTTAGCGACACGGCCATGATGGAATTGCTAAGGCCATCTTTGGAAGAGGCATTCGTCATACAGAACCAACAAGTTGCTTTGGACTATATTGGCAAAAGAGGCTCCACTGTGGGTGTTACCAGGGAGAAGCGTATCAAGTGAGTGCGAATCGCCTGTTTTCATGCTATAGAAGCTCATCTATTGTGCATGCAGGTATGCAAAAGACATTCTGCAAAAAGAAATGTTACCGCACGTTGGAGTCGGGGAATATTGTGAGACGAAGAAAGCGTACTTTTTTGGATACATCATACATCGTCTATTATTATGTGCGTTGGGCCGTCGTGCTGAAGACGATCGAGACCATTATGGGAACAAGCGTCTAGATCTTGCTGGTCCGCTGCTAGGTAGTCTGTTCCGGCAGTTGTTCAGGAAGCTGACTAAAGATGTCCGAGCCTATCTACAAAAGGTATATATTCTGGACATCTTTCGAAGATATCTGATATCTTTTGCAGTGCGTAGACAATGGGAAGGAAGTAAATCTTGCATATGCTGTCAAAGCCAAGACAATCACTAGTGGATTGAAGTATTCCCTTGCGACTGGAAACTGGGGACAAGCAAACTCAGGCAATGCACGAGCAGGAGTGTCACAGGTCCGTTACTGGGCGTTTTCTTAGTAGTAATGATGATTCCATCCTCTCTTACAGGTTCTCAATCGTCTGACGTATGCCTCAACATTGTCACACTTGCGAAGATTAAATTCTCCAATTGGACGTGAAGGTAGGCTTGTTGTCAAGTCTATGTTACTGAACCTCTAGTTGTTCTGCAGGAAAGCTGGCAAAGCCTCGTCAGCTTCATAATTCTCACTGGGGTATGATGTGTCCTGCCGAAACTCCGGAAGGTCAAGCATGCGGTTTGGTAAAAAATTTGGCACTAATGGCTTATATCACCGTCGGGTCAGCTGCCAATCCCATATTGGTTTTTCTGGAAGAGTGGAGTACTGAGAACTTTGAGGTAAATAAAATATTACTCCTACGTTTTTATCATTACTCATACCTTTATATGTTCAGGAAATTTCACCAGCAGTAATCCCAAATGCAACTAAAATCTTTGTGAATGGTGCATGGGTTGGGATACACAGAGAGCCGGAGCACTTGGTTAAAACATTGCGGCAGCTGCGTAGACAGGTTCGATCTACATGTTTTTGTATAAATGAATTCACATATCTTTTCTGTAGGTCGATGTGAATACAGAAGTTGGTGTTGTAAGAGACATTCGGCTCAAGGAGCTCCGGTTGTACACAGACTATGGAAGATGCAGCCGGCCTCTCTTTATTGTTGAGAAACAAAGGCTGCTGATAAAGAAGTCAGATATCAGAGCACTGCAGCAAAAGGTGTTTACTCGCTCTTCTAGTTTTTATGTCAGCTAATATTTGCATCCGTTGACAGGAAGCTGGAGAAAATGGATGGCACGAGCTGGTATCCAAAGGATTTATTGAGTACGTTGACACCGAGGAAGAAGAAACAACTATGATATCCATGACTATTTCGGTAAAATACGTTATCCGACTGTGCTGCTTAATATTTTATAATATCCTTTCAGGATCTTGTCAATGCTCGATTGAATCCCGAAGAGGCATATTCAGATACTTATACACATTGCGAAATCCACCCGTCCATGATTTTGGGCGTCTGTGGGTCGATTATTCCTTTCCCCGACCATAACCAGTCCCCTCGTAATACATACCAATCAGCTATGGGAAAGCAAGCTATGGGTATATACGTGACAAACTACCAACTACGTATGGTAAGTATCGATGTTTCTCGCTTTTTTCTTTTCTGATCATATCCGGATAATACAGGATACCCTTGCTTATGTGTTGTACTACCCTCAAAAGCCTCTTGTGACAACTCGTGCTATGGAGCACCTGCATTTTCGACAACTTCCCGCTGGCATTGTAAGTCAGTTAATTGGTCTCCACTCTACATGCTTAAGTGAATTTCTTTCAGAATGCTATTGTGGCAATTGCATGCTATTCCGGATACAATCAAGAGGATTCGGTTATTATGAACCAGTCATCCATCGACCGCGGCTTTTTCCGCTCCATCTTTTATCGCTCTTACAGGTACGGCTCTCATTTGTTTTGTTAGTATGTCAACTTGTACTTTCAGGGATGAGGAAAAGAAAGCTGGAACGTTGGTGAAAGAAGAATTTGAACGTCCCAACAGGGAGACGACGACGGTTAGTCCTGTCTATTTAGAAGTGTATGTAGCGCCGACATTTTTAATACAGGGAATGCGGCATGGATCATATGATAAGCTCGATGATGATGGCATCGCACCGCCCGGAACGAGGGTGTCTGGGGAGGATGTGATTATTGGGAAGACCACACCGCTGGTCCAAGACGAAACTGGGACTCAAGCTCAACGGTATTCAAAGAGGGATCAGAGTACGTGTCTACGCCATAGTGAAAGTGGAATGATCGATCAGGTACCGTAGTGTGGTTTTAAATCTAATCATCTTGAAACCTGTAGGTGTTACTTACGACCAATGCGGATGGTTTGCGTTTTGTCAAGACAAGGGTGCGATCCATACGCATCCCTCAAATTGGTGACAAGTTTAGTAGCAGACACGGGCAGAAGGGTACTATTGGAATGACGTACACGCAAGAAGACATGCCCTTCACACAAGAAGGCATAACACCGGATATCATCGTGAATCCGCATGCTATTCCATCCCGCATGACCATTGGCCAGCTGATCGAGTGTATCATGGGTAAAGTTGCAGCGCTCATGGGAAAAGAAGGTGATGCGACGCCATTCACTGATGTCACGGTAAGCCTTTTTCATGTAGCTTCTACAGGACTCTTTACGGTTTTCTATCTTGCTTGTAGGTGGATAACATCAGCAAAGCACTCCACAAGTGTAACTATCAGTTAAGAGGCTTCGAGACAATGTACAACGGACACACCGGTCGCAGACTGAGTGCCATGATTTTCATCGGGCCAACATACTACCAGCGGTTGAAGCATATGGTCGACGACAAGATTCACTCCCGTGGGCGTGGTCCTGTTCAAATACTTACGCGCCAGCCCGCAGAAGGTCGATCAAGGGACGGAGGCCTTCGTTTTGGTGAAATGGAGCGGGACTGCATGATCGCACACGGAGCAGCGCATTTTCTCAAGGAGCGCCTGTTTGATCAGAGCGACGCGTATCGCGTCCACGTTTGCGAGCATTGCGGTCTGATTGCGATCGCGAACCTGAAGAAGAATACGTTCGAGTGCCGGAGCTGCAAAAACAAGACGGAGATTGTTCAGGTTTGCTTTCTCGTATTTTCTCTCAAGGCATCATTCTCAACTACATCTTTCTTTTTCCTTCTTTGTGCAGGTTCATATACCATACGCTTGCAAGCTTTTGTTCCAAGAGCTAATGGCTATGGCTATAGCGCCTCGAATGTTCATGAAGGAGGTTAAGAAGCTCAAAGGACACGTAAAGAAGGTTTAAGGTACCCTTCCTGATTTTCATCTCAGTCCAAGTTCGTGCTCACGGTTAACGAGGCAGGAAACTCACACACTAGTTGTAACTCTTTTTGTATATCAAATGAAGACACTCTTACACTCTTAAAAACTTCTTTCGTTCTAAAATCTTTTCATAGGGTTTCTAAAGCTCTGCGTGGCCATGGCGTTGTTGCCTGCCGCTTCCAGGTACGTGGTTAGCTCGTTCTATTCTCTCTCTCGTTGTCATTCTTTTGTCTGGTTTTCACTGCAGCGGGGTCTTCTTCTGGGAACATCAACCAGCACTGTTGAGAAGATTTAGCTGCATTGTATGCTGCTCTAAGACAGTCAAAGGTAACTCATTGTTCTTCGCATTCTTTGATCCATTGCCTCCTGCCAACAGGTGACTTGAAAACGTTTCCAACGGATGTACGAGCACCAGCTTCACTTGAGAGCCGCGAAAGCCAGCATGCGACACTTCCTTGTGCTGAAACTATCGCAGCCATTGTCACTCCACTCTGTGGCAAGCAAGGAGCGGTGGCGATTGTCAGGATGTCTGGGCCATCTGCGGTTTCGGTGGCTCAAGCCATATTTCGTCCGTTGAGGAAGAAGAAGTGGATTCCTCAGAGCCACAAAGTGGTCTACGGTACGATCATTGAATATCCAAAGGAGACTATTATAGATGAGGTGAGCTCCAAACCATTTTTCTTTCTTTCCATTTTTCATTTGTATCTCCAGGTTATTATCGTTCCAATGCTGGCGCCGCGATCATATACGAGGGAAGATGTTGTAGAGATTCAGTGTCACGGTGGCGACGTTTGTGTTCGTAGAATCCTCGACCTTTGTCTTCAACACGGTGCAAGGCTCGCACAGCCAGGTTCGTTCGACTTGAAGCAAAAAACAGCGATTAACTGATTGTTCCGCTCAGGAGAATTCACTTTGCGCGCATTTCTCAATGGCCGGATCGACCTATCGCAGGCAGAGAATGTGGCGCAGCTGGTGTCTGCGAAGACCGCCTCGGCAGCAGAAACAGCGCTTGCTGGACTCCAGGCACGCAAAATATTTGTGACAATCGTGAAAAAGCTCTCCTTTCTGGTTTGAACTCGCAGGGAGGCCTGTCCAACTTTGTCCGCTCCATGCGCTCCCAGTGCATCGAGCTTCTGGCAGAGATCGACGCTCACGTCGACTTTGAGGACGAGCTCGCACCTCTCGACGTGGACAAAATCATGGAAGCCGTGGGAAGTGTCTCGGCGCAAGTGGAGCAAGCGCTGGAAACTGCCGCTCGGGGCCGTTTGCTCCAGTCAGGAATCCAGGTAACTCAAAAAGCTAGAAAGTTTCCCAACTTGGAAGTTTACATTTGGAAGCATTCGTACAGGTTGCAATCGTGGGACGTCCAAACGTGGGGAAGTCGAGCCTGTTGAACGGATGGAGCCAAGTAGGTACGTTGCGCTTTCGCTGTCATCAGTACCACGGAGCTAACCAGGGAGAGATTTTTCTTTCCTTTTCTCGCTAGAGCGAGAGAGCAATAGTGACCGACGTGGCTGGCACTACTCGCGATATTGTGGAGGCTGATGTTGTCGTGAGCGGTGTGCCGGTGAGGCTCTTGGACACTGCTGGGATCCGAATCACCGAGGACCCTGTGGAAAGCATCGGTGAGTACGATATCGCCATCTTACACTTAAGGAAACTTTGAGCAGGGGTACAACGGTCCCAGGCAGCTGCAACGGGTGCCGACGTCCTGGTCATGGTAATCAACGCTTGCGACGGGTGGACCACTGGGGACAAGCTCATCTTTGATCATACTCTACAACAGGTTTTTTTTTTTCTTCGTCTCAACCCATTTCTTAATTCAATCAGTCCGGAACTTCCTTCTTTTCAGGCTCTTCGCGAGAAGCCTTGGATCCTGGTGATGAACAAGATTGATCAGGTGTGTGGAGGAGACGTAACCATACCGGAAGACGTGAGAGCAGCGTTCTCGGCCGTGGTCTCCACGTGTGCCGTCAAAGAGGCGCTCGACATCGACAAGCTAGACACGGCTCTAGCCGCCTTGATTGCTGCCGGGGGTGACGTCTTCTCGGCTGGCCAGCAACACTGGGCAGTAAACGAGGTAAGTTTGCGTAACAGACGTTTAGAGAGAGTGCAAGAGATTTAAAAGCTTTCAGGTACCTTTTTTTCTTACTGTGCGCTTTCTTCGTTCTCCAGAGGCAGAAGGAGCAGCTAATCCGAGCGAAACAGGCGCTGGAGCGGCTGAGGCAGTCAGCTCACGAGGAGCTGCCAGTGGACTTGTGGACCGTAGATCTGCGCGACACCATCCTGGCCCTGGGACAGATCAGCGGCGACGATGTGTCTGAGGAGGTTCTGGCGAATATTTTCAGTCGCTTTTGCATCGGGAAATGAATGCAGGGGATGAGGATCACAGGAACTTACAGGAAGAAATCAAAGAGAGGAAGAACAGAAAAGGAAGAAGAAGAAGAAGAGTGTACGGCAGAGCGAGCACCACAAATGCAGGAGCCTCACGTGAAAGTTAGGAATGTGGTCAGATCTTATGCAGACTTCCTTCAAATATGGAAAGCATCTCTGCGATCGGCCTCTCTTTTTGCTTCTTTTATTTAAGAAAGGAACGTTTTTTTATCGGGTGATGGCTTGCTTCCCTGTGAGAACAAGGAGCACGACTACCTCATTCTCTGGACTGGTTCCCGTGTGACACGAACGGGTGACAAAGGTGGCGAACTACAACACAGCAGTGGGAGAAAGAATTTATGTGCGTTTGATCTTTCGAATCACTGAGCAAGCAAGGGATGCAAGAAAGGGTCAGACATTGCTTTGAAAGAGGCAGCGGGTGGGAAGGAGGTCTCCTTCAATCTCTTCAATTTCATCTTTCAAAGGGGGGCCATGCACAGGACAAGGGGACACATGAATGTCCAAGAGATATATCAAAGAGTTGGCGGGGGCAAGGAGAAAGAAAGAAAGACAAGAGCTTTTCGGAAGTGATGCGCTCAACCTGGCTGGACTATGCAAGAAGATCAGAAGGGGAGCTTTTGCTGCGTTGGGATTGTTAAATGCACCTCTGGGAAATGAAGGCGTGGAAGCCAGGACAGGCGGTTGTGCGTAAAAACAAGAGAGAAAGTGCAAACGAGAAAGAAGAGCACTGACCTGTTTTGTTTTGAGTTGAGCAGATTGATCAGGCTGATGTCTCCGGAGATATAGAGATCCAAGCCATTCATCACCATGGTGGCGACGAGTTCACGGGTTTCTCCGCTCGCCACCTTTTAAAGCGGCCTGCAAGAAGAAACGAAATCGCCATGAGTTACTTACGACATAAATTCCCCTCCAGGCCTGGGGGGAAATAACGGACAAGAAATGGCTAACATTTACGAAACTAGTTCCTCCCCGCAACAGGACGAGCAACGACGCCAAGCTATTTACGAGCACGGATACGCCAAAGATACATATTTACGCTCATGATCATCACTCGAGCCACATGAAAAAGAATGTGTGTTGTACCCGCGAGCTTGGCTTGCAAGATATACAATAAGAAACACTCCAAACCAAATGCAAGGGAAAAGAAGAAGGATTCAGCAAGATGAAAAGGAATTCATTTCAAGTTGCCAGCAGCAGCCCAAGGCCACAGATCCATATGCATTCAATGGAGGAGCCAGAAGGGAAATTTATGCTCTTAAAGGCACAGGCCGTCGGGAGAGAGCTTCATGATTTGACTCCAAGCGGCCGGACACAGAGCCACAACAGCACCACCATTTAAAACACTAGAGCTCCAAGCGATCCCTCGCTTCCTGAATCCTCCTCACTCTCCCACTGACCTTCACATTGGAGCATTTATGTTGTAACATACCACGCCCCACCTTCTGGCGCGGCCGAGGCATGGCCAGCGAGCAACAGTCCTCCTGCACAGTGGGGACGGACAAGCGGAGGGGGAGTTAAAACAAAGTTCCAGAAGTTAAGGATCACTCACTGCTAACAACGAAAGGAAACAAAAAAAGCACCTGATCCTAGCTCATGAGCCATGAACTTGTAGATGCTCTGTGGAATCCACAGAAGCCTCTCCTTCCACCTCCTAGAAACAACGACGTGAGGATTTGGCCACGGGTCAGTAAATGGCGCAAAGGAGAAAGGTCCAAAAAATAAAAAAAACAAAACTTGTACCTGAGAGGCTCCACTTTCCTTCTGAAAGATACTTTCTCCACTGCTGTTTAGGCTACAGAGCACACCTATTAGCTGCAACGTTACCGTCCAAAAACCTGCAAAGAACAGGAAAAAAAGAGAAACACCTCGCTTTCGCGAGACAGACTAATCAACCAAACATACGGAAGCATCCTACACATCCAAACGACATCAGCATCTGAACTGGGTGAGCTTACACGCATCTCAGCGCACCAGAGCGGCTTCTCGACTTATTGCGGATCGGCATCAGGTAAATTCCCTTCTTAAGCTTCCTTTCTGGTTATTAGCAGTTAACCATCAGCATCCGTCTTCCTCTCCTCGTGGAAGCTGTGTCTGCGCCTGTGTATCACAAAGTTTACACTTTTCAATGCTGTATATAAATACATTAGACAACCTTTACCTTAGCAGCCAAAGCTTGGCTGACGCAAGAAACTGTGACAGGATGAGGCAATGCGCTCCATGTGCGATCCACCACCTTAAGAACATCGCCATCCGTGGATTCATTGGGATCGGTCACCCTTACCGACTTGCTGTGCTTAATTATCCTGGAAACTCATCCCGTTCACAGCTACTGGATACAGGCTCAACTTAAAGGAAAGGAGCACGAAAAGCTTACCAAATTAAACGTTGGCCGGATGGAATCTTTTATACCTCCTCCGTTTGTTCGTCCCTTCGTCCCAAGACCATTTAGTTATGCTATGTCTTGCCTGCACACCCAAACGCACAACATGTGAGATTGAATAATACCTACAAGTACGAAAGTAAAGAGAATTACCTGGTTTCCAAGCAGGATTGACGAAAGTGCAATGCAATCTATGTACGCTTTGGAAAGCCAAAGGAGAAAGTGAGATTATAATAAAAGTGTGTGTAATGTAAACACCGCACCTTGAAATAATCTATCTCCAAAGCCGTCTTTCGGCTTTGTATATGCGCAACGGCAGTTTCCCTCTCCGATACACGCGCTTAAAAGCCTCTCAGCTCAGATATCCGCCCTGCACAAGCACAACAGACGCGCACGGTTCAGTGGTTTGTCACGAACGAATGAAGAGAAACAAAAGCAATTTAAGAAAACGAAACGAGAGGGAGAGAGGAACGCAACAAACCACAAGCAGCTGACAAGAGCATTCACCACCGGCGAAGCAAAGTGGAGCCAGATATGTGAAGCTGCCAAAAACCAAACACCGTGGACATATGCCCAACATTAGGAACACAACAAATGCCCAACAACACGGAGCGCGAGAAAAGCGAGTCCAGACAAACACAAAGAGACCCTCCAGAAGAAGCTCGATCATATACCTGGTGTGTCCACGGAATTAAAGAGCTTAGATATAGAAAGAAAGAAGAGTGAAGAAGAACATTAAACAAAAAAGAAAGAAAGAAAGCATCATACATACACTGGGATCCAGATCACACCGAGTTCTCCTCTCACACACAGCGCGCGAGCGCTGTTCTTGAGGAGCGAACTCTCCCAGCTCTCTTGCTCGCGAATAGATAGCTACCTCTCTCTCTCTCTTTCTTTCTCCCTCGTCCAAAGCCCCTGAAAGCACACCAGGGAAGCCCATCAGATCACCACGGAGCTCGATGGTTCTATATGTATATTCCTGTGTTGTTCTTCGTGTTGTAGCTATGTACCCGGTCTCTCTGCGTTGAGAATTCCCCCGCGTCGTGGCTTCTCGAGTCGCAGCTTGGAACTTGAAAAAACTGCTGCAACGGGTATTCACAAGCTGTCCATGCGCGGGTTTTTCCATGATCGCAGCCGCTTTCTTTGCCTTCTGCTCATGCTGCATGATCTCCTTGATCTTGGACCTTCACCCATTCGAATCTTCCTGGCAAAGGACGCTCGTTGGCAACATCAAAGTTGTATCTGCGAGAAAGAAGAGAAAAGACGCATGGAATGAGATCCTTGAGCACAAAGACCCCTCGAGTCTTGTCTACCTCTCCGTGAATCGCTTGTGCTGCACCTTGTCCATCTGGCCTTCGAGCTCCCCGAGAAACGCGTCCACTTCGTCGGCGCTAGGAGCCGGCAATCTCTCCGGCTTTGTGCTCGCCAGCGTTGGCTTCGTGTAGACTGTCCGACTGGCTCTTCCCGTGACGCGTTTGGAGGCCTTGAGGAGGTTCCTGGGACCGTAGCGCCCGCCATAGCGACTGTGATGGAAGAAAAGAAACGAAACAAAAGCTCATGAATTTCTGTGAATTCTCGTCTTTGCAAGCGCAGATGTGTACCTCGAGCCCTCCTCCTTTTTCAACTTCAAACTGCTGATGTGCTCGCGTTCTTCCGGTTGGAAGCGCTTCCTCTCCTGTTCCCAAAACGAAAAAAGAAAGCAAAGCCTCGTTAGTCCGGGATCACGAGAACGAAGGACACAATTCCCAACAAGAATATCTCAGATCTACAAGGCGGTGGAGCAAAGTCACGAATCACGACCTCTTGCGGCTCGTCCGTGGTGTCAACGCTGAGCGTGGAGTGCGACGACGACGAGCTACACCCGGAAATCGATGTAAAGCCCGCCTTTTCGACGAATTCCTCCTCCCGGCGGGATATTTCGGAGAGATCATCCGGCGCCGCATGGAATTCCAGGGCATCGATGACAGAATCGAAATCGGCCGGGATATGCATTGGATCGGCGCCAGGGACCTGCATTCTTACGGTATAGCGGACGGAGGATCGAGATCAAGGAGAGAAGAGGGAGGGGAGAGAAGAAATATTTCGCTGGCGCTCCTCGATATAACTGAAGCCAAGAACAGAGTGATCGATCCAACTAGAACAAAGGAAAGAAGGATGCCGCACGCTCTCTCTATTCCCACATGCGCGCACTGCTACGGCGCCCTTACACCGCCCAGCGCCCAGCGCCAGTAGCTCCTGTCGAGATGCCAAAGCTATTACGCTCTAAATAAGAACCCTAAATTTCTCTTGAGGAGCCCGCCCGGAAAAACAAAGAAACGCCCTAAAAATAAAATGACGTCTTTAATGGTTGACCAAAAGCAAGACCCCCCCCCGCGCCCTAACGAACTCAAACGGACGGCCCACGCTCGCCCCGCGGGGGCAACGTGGGACAAGCCACGCCCTTGGATGGGCCCAGGATATCCGTCTAGCCGGCAGGACAGGGACAGCACACATCATCAGTGACACGTCAGCGGCGCTCCCGCCAAAACGACACAGGCGGGAAGCGGGGAAGGGGGGAGGGCCCGTCCATGGCGTTAAGCAGGTGGGAGTTAATTTTGATAAGATCCAGGCGTTTTGGGCCATAGCCTGGAAGCTAACTTGTAGTTAAAAAAGTGATTGTAATAGCAAGGCTAGGCTGACTGACGGAGTGAGGAGATCGCCGTGAGATTGCCCAATGATGCATGGAGACGGCGCGTGACGGAGAATGCCGGGGATTGGGTGGCGGCATTGCACGTAAGTGGCATCGGAGTTATGGCCACGCCCGTCCGTGCGGCCCAAATTGACAATAATGGCCACCACGGGGTGGTGAGCTCATCTATCTGGAGTGACAAGACCAAGCAACAGAAATTTAGGGATTGTTTGGTTTTGGTTGTAGTAGCAGTGTGTGGAAGGAAGGAAAGGATAGAAAAATCATAAGGTGGAAGGAAGGAAAGCCCTTTAGAGGCATGATGTTTGCGTGTAAAATGGGGCGGTGTGCCCAATTGCCCAAATGCCCGCTACTATTGCTGCTCGGCCGGAGTTGGCCAAATGATAGTCGCTGCTTCGACAAGTCTGGCACCTCAAGGGTTTAGATCTCCCTGGAGCCACAATTGAGTGTCACAAGTGGAATGCATCATACATTCTTGGCACTGGAGAGGTAGAGCAAAGAAGAAGAAGAAAATTTTAAAAATCAAAAATCAAAACCCCATTGGAAGCAAGAAACAGAGAAATAATAACTTCCAAATTTCCAAAAGAGAAACCACCCAAAACTAATTGAATCATGCCCAGCGTGACAATCTCGCCTCGGTGGCTGGCATGATGGATGCTTCCAAGGCGGCATCGCGTGGAATATCCGCGGACCGACTAATAGTACGCTACACAATCAAGAGGTGGTCCCTTGTTTAGATTATCTCTAGGGCAACATCACAAAGATCTGCTGCCCTGTCCTGGCTCGAAACCCCGCGAAGAACGCTTGGGCAAACAACACTAGTACCATGCGAGTCGTTAAAAGGGTGCTAAAGGTGGTACCACCTTTTCATATACCCCACCACCATGCAAAAGTTTTGTTTGCATATATAAATGTCCCGCCACCTTTTTCCAGTATATGATATTTTTGCCTGGGCCTTTGAATGTGGTGTCAGGCGTGAGGGTTTCTCATCGTTGAGCTATATGTACGGAGTGGACGAGTAAAGCTGGTTAGCCTCGCTTTTTGACCCGCTGCCATCTTCACTTTTTACCACCGGCAATCGGTTGATTTGTTTCGTGAAACTGTTATATACCGTCAAACGTTCGTCGGTCAACGTTCAACGCGCTTACAACACCTCGTCAACGCTGATTTTTTCTTCTTGTTTTGAAAGTTCGCCGCGCAGATCTATCTGTAGAACATGATGCCTGGGGATCGCGAATTAACAGCCTAGATGAGAGAAACTATAATTTTTTCCTTGCTTGGCGATTGAACAGTCGGACACCCGATCTCAATAAGCCTGAGAGACTGAGCAGAGCAGACCAATTAAAAATAAAATCTCTAAAGAAGAGGAAGAAGCAAAGATTACATTTTGCTGCCACCACTAAGAATCAAGGCTGCAGCGCTCACCTACAGCTTTAATGTTTGCGAGCAATACAGTATTGCCTGGAAATCTCTGTATGAAAAAACCGGAGATCATAAATAATGAAGGGAGAAGAAGCAGCAGACTGAAAGAAGAAAAAGATAGAACTCCAGAAAGGAAAGAAAAAACTCTGGCAAATCTTCAGGGTGGCCTACACTGCGCTTGGAAAACTGGCAGCATGAGTTTTCTAACTGCTGTGTTGATGGCGATGGCGAGCGCGTCGGACTTTGAGCCGCCAACGTCCACCACCTTGTTCTCTTTGTCGTCGGCCTCGTCGCTTAGAAACGTATGATCGTCCACCGTGTCAAAGTAATCCGGGCCTAGAAAGCTCGGCGACTTTGGAGGAGGGAGCCTCCGCTCGCCGGGAGGCTGCGGACAGCACCCCCGACCACACTGCGTCGGCACCTCGGGTCCGGTAAGTCCCCACAACGGGCTGGCAAAACGCGAAATGTTGTAAGAAGGTCCTCCTCCACCGTGAGGAAACTCGCCTCTGGTAAAGTTTGCGTTGGAGCTCGAGTTGAATCCAGTCGGATCCACCGCTTTGTAGCAGCTGAAGGCGCTGGCGGAGCGAGGAACCGGCTTCAAGACCGATGGGGGCCCCTGGAACGCCGCAGCAACTCCGGTTTGCGTGCTTTCCAGACTTTCCATAGCCGAGGAGGTGGCAGCATTGGCGCTGGAAGTGATCCCTCCTCCTCCTCCTCTCTCTCGCGACTCGGAGTTCACCACCTTGTAAACGATCGGTTTCTTCACTGCTGCTGCGGGAGATGGCGGCGGAGGTGGCGGCGCTGGAGCCACCGACACCGACGATCTCGCCGCTCGGTTTGCCGGAGTTACGTCCAGAGCCAGCGACGAGGCGGCGGTGGTGATCACCTTGCAGCTGGCTTTGATCTTGTCGAGCGCCGCGGCAGAATCAGCAGTGGTGAGTTTGGATGATCTCGCGTCGTAGATGCTGGTGGGACGCCGCCCCAGCTCCTCGAGCGCGTACTTTCGACGTAGAGTCGAGTTCCAGTGGTTTTTTATGGCGTTGTCCGTCCTCCCGGGCAGCATTCTGGCAATGGACGCCCACTTGTTGCCATGGATAGCGTGCGCCTTGACAATGGCGCGGTCCTCCTCCTCTACATTTAGCAGCGCGCCAGTTAGTTTAGCGGAGGGATACGCAAAGACTTTAGGGTTCTTGGGAGGGGGAGCAAGACAACGAACTACTCACCAGTGAAGGGTTTTCTCTTGACAACAGGATTGAGCTGATTGCACCAGCGCAGGCGGCACGATTTTCCCGACCGGCCCGGAATGCCGCGCGCGATGGAGCTCCAATTCCGCGCCCCAAATTTCTCCACCAGGCGGCTCAGCACCGCGTCCTCCTCGGGCGACCACGGCCCCTTGATCCTGTCCACGCTCGGAGCGGGATTCTGATCCATTACCAGCTGGGATTGTGGGGCGGCCGCTGGGATGGGTGCTGCTGCGCCATCGCTGGGCGGCGCCTCCGCCATCGCCGCCGAGGAGGACAGGGCCTCCTCCATGGCCGCCGCCGACTCCATTGCAACTAACTAACACCCTCTACAGTGACAAACCCCCATTTCAACCCAGCCGGACAACCGCATAACTAAAATTAGCGGTTCTTCTTCTTCCAGCTTAATCTGCGTTTAAATATAATTAGTCATAACTAGTGTCTAAATGATGCTTAGACTAGAACCCTAGAACCCCTAGAAACTAGTATTTGGCCATGAGCAATGGCTTGGGGTGTAATGCTGTGCTCTCGCATCCATTCTGTCCAGAGGTAATCGCGCCAGATTCGAGAGCGCTCGAGCATATCGATTCGATTTTGGCCAGGTTTGCGATGCCGTCGAGGAGCTATCGTCCCATTTCTCGCGAGTGGATTGCCTTGTGGCTTCCAACATGAGGCGCGTCCTCGGGGCCTATGCAAATGCGCGCATTGGGTCGCAAGTAAGTGGTTTGCTCGTTTTCTTTGCAAGGAGCTCACATAGATTTTGGTGGAGCGCGCAGCACTTCAGTGGCTCTACCGGCTATGGCCACAATGACGCTGGTGGCAGAGAGGCGTTTGATAAGGCTTTTGCCGAGATCTTCCGCGCTGAAGCAGCGATCGTGAGGCCACAGGTGCTTGATCTTTATAGCTTTCTTTTCGTTTCACTGCTTTCGAACTCTTTCAATGGGTGGGTGTGTGTGTGTTTTTCACAGTTTTTCTCAGGAACTCACGCGATCGCTTCAGCTCTTTATGCTGTTCTCCGGCCGGGTGACGAGGTATCCAGCATTTATGTCTTTGTGTTCTTGTGTTTCTTCCTCGGCATTTAACTTTTCTCATCAGTTGTTGTCCGTGGCAGGAGCGCCTTATGATACACTCGAGGAAGTTATTGGCTTGCGAGGATCAAAAGGCCATGGATCGCTCAAAGAATTTGGGATCAGCTACCGCGAAGTGCCAGTAAACTTTCTACTTCTTCCTAGATTTGTTTTTCCTTTTTCACAACCATGAAACATGAAAACTGTGTTCACAGGTTACTGCTAAAGGTTGTCTTGACAAAACTGCGTTGGCAACATCTGTAACAAAGAAGACACAATGTGCCTTCATCCAAAGATCCTGCGGCTACTCGTGGCGAGAGACCTTGTCAATATCTGACATTCAAGCCGCAGTCACTCTCATCAAGGTAGCTCCAAGTTTGTAATTCCCGGCTTCCTAATTTTCATTCAACCAGGACCAAAATCCAAACTGCGTGGTAATGGTTGACAACTGCTATGGAGAGTTCGTAGAGACCGTAGAGCCTACTGCCGTGGTATGGTTGTTTCTTACTACCTTTCGGAATGCCAGCGCTTCGTTTTCTTTTGTTCTAGGGAGCTGATATCGTCGCTGGAAGCTTGATAAAAAATCCCGGTGGCACAATCGCTCCTTGTGGAGGATACGTCGTTGGAAAGACCGAGCTTGTTGCAGCGGCTGCTGCTCGGCTCTCTGCTCCAGGCATTGGAATTGATGCCGGGTCGGCCTCTGGTGATATCATGCGTTTGCTGGTGCAAGGACTCTTCCTAGCACCTCAAATGGTCGGGGAAGCCATCAAGGTAGAAAACTCTCGTTTTTTCCGTTTTTTTTTTTCTCAGATATATGTACGTTCTTTTTGTGGCAGGGTACACTGCTTGTAGCTGAAGTTCTAGCTAAAGAAGGCTACAAAGTCAGGCCGTCACAACGTGCCAAACGCTACGACACGATACAGGTTGGTGGCTCTAGATTGATAATTTGTTTTTTTTTTTTTGTTCCGTTCGCTGATGGAAGTGATTTTCCAGGCTGTAGAACTGGGAAGCCGAGAGCGGCTACTAGCATTTTGTGCCGCTGTTCAGCAATGTTGCCCGGTTGGAGCATATATTAAACCCACCGCTGGCGTGACCCCTGGCTATGAGTCCGAGGTAGCGTAAAGTTAAAAAGGGAGAGAATCCTTTGTTTGAAGCGCTTCATTCTACTTTCCAGGTTGTATTTGCTGATGGAACTTTCATAGATGGAAGCACGAGTGAGCTCTCCTGCGATGGTCCTTTGAGGGAGCCTTTCATCGTCTTTTGTCAGGTAATCTGTTTTACAGGTAGCGTTTTCTTCACGCATATCTAATGTTTTTCTATGCATTTTTCTGGCAGGGTGGCACTCACTGGACTCACTGGGCTCTCACACTGGAGAAAGTTTTGCAAGCACTAAAAAAAGCTTGATCTGATCACAAGAAGCACGCACCTTGCAAAAGAACACTCTGACAGCGAAATGGTTGCTCAACAAAGTATGTGATGTGAGTGTTTTTATTATTTTATTTCCACAGGCAAAAAAGAATGTCCTTTAAAGTCTCCTTTTTCGCTTCCTTTCTCGTTCGATCATTCCCTGACTTGTACCCACACTGCAGTGCTCGGGATCCCCTGGTTGACAACAAACAACATATAGTACGCCTGCGGAGCCAAGTTCCCGGTGGGAGGTCCCGTCCCGGTTACGGTGTAAGTCCTATCCCCAATCGAGACCGGAGTCGTGGAGCTCAAATGCACCAGCCGCTGGCCCTGCGAGTACGAGTGTGTGGTAAAGGGAGCACTGACGAGGCTAACCTCCAGCGTCCCGGTCACAGGCAGCGGTACAGTCACAGTCACGGTAAACTCAAGCCCGTAGAAGAGCACAACCGGGGAGCCGATGATGGTCGGTCTCAAGCTCGCCAAGCCTTCGCTCAGGTACTCCGGAGAGAAGGTCTCCACTCGCAACTCGGTCGGGAAAGACCCGGTGAAAGTGTAGTAGTAGTGAGTGTTGCTCCCAGCGATGAGCACCCGAGCGTCCGGCAAGAGGTTGGCGGTGGAGTGGTACATCCTGGGGATGGAACTCGGGTTCAGGACCATGAATCTCAGGCCGTCGGGACCAGCGGGCTTGTAGAGCACGGGGTTTAAGCAGGGGATATCGGACAGGCCGAAGCCTTGGGATCCGGCTTGAGCTCCGTTGATGATGAGCACGTCCCGGGAGGGGAGCAACACCATGTCTCCCATGTTTCGCTTGAAAGGCATGGTCTCCATCTTCCAGCGGGGTGACGGGTCCGATACCGCGAGCCGACCGCAGGTGTCCAGCGCAGGGATCTTCGCCTCGGGGTTGAGAAACGCTCCAAACTGGGAGCCGCCGCAGATGAGAACTTCCACCGCGGTGAAACCGTCGGCGGCGGAGAGGGGGAGCAGCACGGAGGAGCCGCCAGAGGGGTAGTTCCGGGGGCCGCCGGGGATGGCCGGGAACTTACGTAGCACCGCGTTGCGCTTGTAGTCGTAGAGGATGGAGTCGCGGTTGGCGAAGACGAAGAGGTTGCCGTCGGGGAGGAGATGGACGTAGGGGTAGAGGTTGTCCATCTGCATGTCGCGGGTGGAGCTCAGGAACGGGAAGGTGACGAGCTCGTCACCGGGTGACGGAGGCACGAACTCGAGCGTGAAGCTGTCGCGGCCGCCGACGACGATGGTGCGACCATCCGGGAGGAGCTGGTTCGTGGCGTACCAGCGTCCTGCCTTGAGGGACTGGTCGCTGGATTCGACCCAGTCGCAGGCGCCCGGCTCGGGGCACGGCACGAAGTAGCGGAGCTTGCGGTTGCCGTCGAAGTCGCCGCCGGTGTGGAGGAGCGTGCCGTTGGCGGTGAACTGCGCGGAGGAGCACCAGGTGTCGGTGAGGATGGTGAGCGGGCGGACGGCGGCGGTGGCGACGTCGATGATGACCGAGTGGGCGGAGCAGTCGGTCTGGAGGGACTTGTCGGCGGCGTCGCGGCGGCAGCGGTTGTCCGTGAGGCTGATCTTGGAGGCGCCGATGTCGGTGCGGTCGAGGAGGAGAACGGTGCCGTAGTGGGTCACGGCGGTGTGCATGGAGGCGATGCCGGCGTTTGGGACGAGGAGCTGCCAGGTCCCCGGGAGCTGTGACTTTGTGGGGTTGGGATTGACGAGCAGCAGCAGCAACAGCAGCAGCAGCGAGAGGGAGATTGTCCTGGGCGAGCATTGCTGCTGCTGCTGCCGCTGATGCATTTCCTTCTTCTCCTCCTCCTTGCAGTGGCGATGGGCATATCAAGTCTTGGGTGCTCTTGTTTTCTTCCTGTTCTATGATTGAGCTACTTATTTTCTTTCTCTGCTTCCAAGCCTTTCCCTTCTAGCTAGGAGGTACTCACAGGACGTAAGGATCTAATCCTGGGAATCGATCGTTTTGCTCTGCTTCCTCTGCCTGCTCTGCTCTATCCAGATCGGGAATTCGGGACGCAATGTCTAGGCTCTATCTTCGCTGCTGCTCTATCTTCGCAGGTAAGAGATTGCAAAGAATGGCGACAGAAAGAATGGAGCCGGCACGGGAAAGAAGAGAAACAAGTCAAAGAAGATCGAAGAAAAAAAGAGAGCAGAGGTAAAGCTTTGGACACTCTTCCATAATTTAATCACCTTGTCATCGTTAAAGCTAGTCCAAAGGCAAAGAGACAGGGTACACCTGAAAGTTTGAAACGAGGAACGAGGAGCATCAGCACAACGGGCGAAAGTTTATGGGGCCGGTTCTACTTCTTCCTCTATTTTTTTTTTTTTTTATGTTGGCCGCAAGAGATTTTCAAGACGAGAGAGAGATTGGGAAAGCTATTCAAGGAAAGGACACCCTGCCACCACTACAATTGCTCTGTTCTGGCAGAGAGAGAGAGAGAGAGAGAGAAGGGGGCGCGGGCAACCTGAGTGGTGGTAGCTTGATGGCAGCCTCCGAAATTGAGGCTGCCATCAATCACAGCACTTCTATAATGCTTGATGATGCTTCGATTGTATGTGCTTAAACGAAGAGCAAGGTTTAAAGTCCGTAGCATCCCTCATGCCACTGGCACCTCCCAGCTTTTCTTCGTCCATCTGTCCGTCCACAAAAAGTATCACCCCCTAGATCATTCTTTTGCTTCTGTTGAGATCTTAAAGATTTGGGCTCGAACAACACCACCTGGCAATACCACAATGAGCAATAGCTCTCTACTCCCATTGCACGATTCTTATTGGTGTAGTGACCATTAGCGTCGTTCTAGCATGCGCAACAGGAAACGCATTTTGACACTGAAAAGTGCAACGAGCTGTTTATTAAAACAATACATATTGGATTGAATAAAACTTGCTTGCTATTCCTATTTAGTATTATTCATTAAATCTATCTGAAATGTTTATAATTTTATTAGCATTAGATAGTAGAATAAACTAGAATATACTAGGAAGTGTTTAAGTCTATAAACTATAAACACGGGGAAAATAGATGTGGAAATTAAAAATAATATGAAGTTTCACTTGAGTTTAAAATTCAATGCTACTTAAAAATATTAGATAGAAAGTCACAAAATTATTTTCATAGATTTTTTTCAAAGCTCTATGGAACAAGTCACTTGCACAGCCCTGTGAAATTTATTGCAGCTAGAAAGCTTGTTTTCTTTTGTATTTTCATTTTAAAAATAACATACATTATTCTATCAAGTTTATCATTTATGAGTAAAGTGTTAGTATTGCATTTCCCTCTTTCTTCTGTGTTATAAATTAGATTGTTAATAGTAATCTGATATTTCATCTATAAATAAAACTAAAATAATATATGATTAAGAAAAAATTAGAAGTTGCCTAGCTTTTTTTTTAATGTTGACTCAGTAAAACTAATATCTTAATAATTTTTTATATACATCTACGAAATTTCTAGCAAAATAAAAATGAAATAGAAAAAAGTTAGTTAAAGGAGTAACATTATCAAATATTTTTCTAGTATAAAAATAACGATTTAATATTTTAGATTCTAAGAGTATTGTATATACAAATTTTAATAAATTTTAAGACATGGTTAAGATTATTAAATAGGATGCCATTTACTTAACACTAAATTATCATCTAGATTGTATTCATTCATGCATATTTTTTATTTAGTAATTATTTAAATAAAATAATAAAATATCATTAGAAACCATATTTTTTTATATTTTTGAAACTTGATAGTTGCTAAATCCATCATAATATAAAAAAAATTCATAAAGGTTAAAGGACTGTGAAATTATAATTTAGCTAAAATGTTATTTTTTAGAGAGTTTTATAGTCTAGTATTGTAAAGAAAATTAAGCACTTTGTATATTTGATTCTTTTTCTCTCTTTTGAGTTTAATATCTATCTATCTATTTCATGAATTTAATTAAATGGATTTTTATCATAAAGACTTCAAATGCCTAACTTGCGTTTATATATTTTGATCCAAAGTGGAATTTTTATGGTGGTAGTCTAAGATTTTGCCAAAAAAAACCTAAGGACATTTGGCACTTGCCTCATTAAGATTGGATTAGAGAATAATTATTTAGTATAGATAAATGGTGGTAAAACTGAATATCCTTTAAAACTTACATTCAGCTGGATCACTCAGCTGGAGACACGAGATACCAACAAGCATGGAACCTTCTGGATGAGCAAACTTACGAGACAATGCATCTGGCAATGTATTGGTGGCCCATGAATGATACGTAATGGAGAAATCCAAATGCCTAGAGTTCCTTCACCCACTGCATTTGTTTCTTGTTGAGATGCGGTTCTGTCACCAGAAAACGTATACTAACATGATCTGTGCACAGGCAAAAATGCCAAAAGGCAAAATAGTGCTTCCACCTGCAGATCACGTGCACCATTTCCTGTTCGTACACTGGGGCCTGAGATTCCACCTTAGTGAATCTTCAACTCTCAAATGCCACAATCCCATGCTATTGAAGAAGAACTCCTCCTACCCCAAACTCCGATGCATAGCAAAATCTGGCAGAACCAACATAGGGGCCACCATTAGAGTCTTCTTGAGAGCAAGAAATGCTTCCTATGCTGCATTGAATGTTGAGACTTGCTGCAACTAAGGCATAGTGTTGGAGGTAATTTGCGAAGCCTAGAAATGCATGTAGCTGCTTCATAGACTGAGGTATTGGCTAGTCCCCACTACTTCAATCTTCCTCGGATTGACAAGCAGCTTTCCTTCCACCACCCTGAACCCCAAGTATTCCACCTCAACAGCACCAAAAGAACACTACCACCATACCTACCTCCTCCAAGGCCTGGAGAACCAACTCTACATGCTCCAAGTGCTCAGACCAGGAACAGCTGTAGATCAAAGAAAACCACCACAAACTCGAACAGGAACCTCCCAAGAACTTTGTTCATCGTTGCTTGAAATGTTGCTGGAGCGTTAGTGAGGCCAAAAGGCATCACTTTGAACTAAAAAAGGCTGTGATATATACGGAAAGCTGTTTTGTGATTATCTGATTCCACCGGTAGTAACCAGAGCATAAGTGCAGCTTCATAAAGAACCAAGCTCCTCCCAATTTGTCCATGAGTTCCTCCACATGAGGGATTGGAAACCTGTTCTTGACTATGATCCTGTTCAAAGCATGATAATCCACACACAGCTGCCACTAACCAGCAAAATTGGCACAGAAAATGGGCTGGAACTTGGCTCGATGAGGCCCTGATCCAAAAGCTCAGTGACCATCTTATCAACCTCCTGTCTTTCATCTCTAGAAAGCCGAAGGAATGGATGAGACATCGGGATAACATCCCTTTCCAATGGAATGCTCCACTCCAGTCCGAGCTGAAACTTCTAAGGATACTTGATGGTGGAAGATCAAAAGATGATGGAGTAGGACATCCCAAAGATCACCCTCGATCTGGAGGTGCAAGATATCTTGGCAAATCAACTCCAACTCCTTATCAACCTCACAAACTAAAGTTGTCTTGTCCGATGCTACCAAAATTGTACTGCATTCTCCACCCCTGTGTGTCCCCAACGACACAACTCATCGCTAGAAGAAGGTAACATGAAGACCTCTGCACCCTTCCCAACAGACTGTAACAGTGCGCAAATGACAAGGAAGACGCAGCTCTAGGTTGTGAAAGGCAAAACCAAGGCACCCGGTGTTTGCCATCTCAAAATGACAATTGCTGCTCCTGAAAGTTGACAGTGGTGTCCCCCAACTGCTCCACGCCCAGCACAATATCCCATCTCCCATTTCCGGAACATAGAAATGTCTTGTCACTGAATATCCTTCCACCAGTAATGAGCACAGCACAGTTGAGTCAAGTTGACTAAGCCTCCATCTACAATCTCAACTTGCAAAGGATGAATAGCATCTGACAAAGACAATTTTAGCTTGGAAAGACTCTATTCACCAATGTTTGCTAAACACCCAAATCCACAACCAAAAGCCACCAGACCATTCACTGATCCTTGAAATGGAGGCATTGAACTTTCCCAGGTACACTGAACAAGAAATCAAAGCTCACATTGCCCCATCCTCCACTACATCTGAACTGATACCCCTATGCTCTTGGGATCTTTCCAAGGCCAGCGGTCCTTATCTCCCGATGAAGTAGTTCGTCACTGTCTGAGCGGTAGAAACTGCCTTTGTCTGCACCATATCGCCAGCCATAGAAGATGGTTGAGCAGCTACATACTGCTAGGCCAAAATCTCATTAGAAACCCCCACCACTTTGTAACGAGTTGAAGGTTTGATGAGTTTGGTGCTGCCAGTCATAATATAGGTCATAGAGTTTGTTCTTGAATTGTCATCTTCATCGTCTTGAATTGCTCTCAGTTTGGAAAAATTCTCACTCTCTTCAAGTTGTGGAAACACTCCGAAGTAAGATCTTTGAAGAAGATGGAAGCAAAAGGAACCTTGTCCACGTGTCTTCTTCGTGTCCCCCCAAACAAAGCATCACTCCAGCTTACACAGCCAATCTTGGGGCTTGAGATGATCATTCTCTCCATCATATTCTGGAATGTTCAGCTTCTCACAATCTTACCAGTGGGAACCTGATGTCTGTCCCAATGCTTCCAACCCTCGTAGGCCACTGAAACATCAGCACCTCCTTGGTCTCAGAATCTGGTGCTGGAGTTTTCATCTTATCCAACAGATCAGCCAGATCTGGGCTCGAATCTTGGAACCAATCTTCATCACTGAAACAATGGATGACCTTTTGGATCACCGGGTCATTTCATCCTTTAGCTCGAGCTTCTAACCACTCCAAGCAATCTGCCAAAGATTGCTGCTGGTCATGGATCTCCTCAATCTTGGACGACTGAGAGGCCCAAGAATGCTCCAAAAGAGATAAAGAAAGTTGGATCTGTTATAGCCTCTCTTGATCTTGCTGATGGTTTTTCACATACCTCTGAAGGATTGCAACACCTCCTTCAGTTCCCCTACCGGATCTGGAATCACTTGCAAAGGTGAAGATGGTGACTCTATTGCATCTAGAGCACTCGCCTCTCTGTCCTCACTTGGTGAGGACTTCAGCTCAACCTTCTTCCCTTTCAGCCAAGGCATCTTCTAGTGTCATCACTTAGATCTCAGCCACCCAAATCCCTAATTGCAACAGAAATAGCAAATATGAAATAGATGTTATAATGAGTCTTAAATTTCCATCAACTCAATATGATGAGCTCAAAGGGGATTTATCAATTGTCAGCACAAGTTAGATATTGTATTAGTCAAATAAAAATGTCATAA